GCTTGCTGCTGCTAGTCTACTTCTTTCTGCTCCTGCTCCTACTCCTGCTGCTCCTGCTCCTCCGCCTCGATCTTTATCCAGCATCATCTCCTGCTCCTGCTCCTGCTCCTCCTCCACAGCAGTGCTGCTGAAAGCTCTCCACCTCTCAGCCTGAAGAAGCTCCTCCTCCTCCTCCTCCTCTTCCTCCTCTTCCTCCTCTTCCCCCTCCCGCCAGCACTCTATAATAATAATAGCACGTGCCGCCGCCTCACGTACGGTTTGCTGTTCCTGCTTCTTCCTGTCCTGCAGCATGCAGAAAAAAAACGTTAGGTTACATACATTAAGAAAAAACACATTTTCTGTTTCAACAATTCAACAATGATTGTTATTATTTATAAAACAAAAGTTGAAGAAAGCTTCATAATAAATCGTCTCATGCTGCTGCTGCTGGACAAGTCGGTTAGTAATATATATAACACGTCAGCGAGAACCCAAATCACAACCGCGATTATTGCATCAGCCGTGACTTGAGCCCACGATCACCAATTGCGCATTCGTACTGCAAATTACCGTGTCTTAGCACTTATTATGCTCACTCACCACTCTCCGGGAGTAGCCCATGACTCGGACCGGGCAGCGTTAGTCTATATACTACAACTTTCTTGTAAATCGCCCTAACTGCCGGCGTGTCCTTTCGAGGACGCTAAAGCTGTTTCTTTGTGCTTTTGTTGCGGTGTATTGATTGGTGTTTGTCTTGTTCCGTGGTTCGCGCGCATTAGACACATGTCTGCTTCTGCTTCTTCGCGGCCGTATTTCTACTTGGCGCCTGCTCCATAAATAAAATTTTAAAAACGTCCTGATAGCTCTCGCTGTGACGGTCTCATTTCAATTGTCTGTTTGTCGTCGGCGAGCGGTGAGAAGTAGGGGCGGCGCACTTTATTACTAATGATGACGTATAGTACGACAAAGCACACTTGAGCAGCACGGCTGCTGTGCTTCTTCTTTTGCGGTTTCCGTCATCGTTGTTGTTGTGCACCGATTATTTTGTTGTTGTTACATTCATTTTATTGTTGACCCTAAGTATTCAAGTAATAATATATAATGCATGTGCCGCAGAACAACATGATGATGAATGATGATGATGATGATGCTATGTGCCCGCTTCCGCTCCCGTACTTATACTTATTACTTTTCTTATTACTACTACTAATTGTAAAAACTTTGAGCGACTCTTCCCGGCAAAATTTTAATAACGATGACGACGACGACGACGACGACGTCGTCGAGGATTGACGACCAGACCCCCACCAGCGAGCGCGATCGCATCGCATATTCTTATTCTTATTCTTATCCTTATTCTTATTCTGATCACAGAGCACAGCAGAGGCGGCACAGTAAAGTTTTAGTGGTGGTGGATCATCGGCGGGTTGGCACGCTTGTGTTGTGCACGCGGCGAGATTGTTGTTGGTATATATACCGTTAGGGTTATTATTATTACTTATTTACATGTGTGCCAAATCGTGCCAAGTAGATACAGCAGCATTGTTTGATTGTGTTGGTGTAGATATGCATATATAGAGAGAGATCGTGTGTCCGACGAGAAGGGAAAAGGGAGCATACACAACAACAACAGCAACATGTACAACTACTACGTGGGTGCATCATCATCGCCACACCGTCGTGCATGCGCGTGTCCCATATAATATCCACATACCCGCGGAGCCATCATATGCTGCGCATGCGTATGTGTACTACTACTAATAAAGTAGTATCACGTACAGTACGACATGTACAACAACAACNCAACAGACAGACCAACAACATACATCGCAAGTGCAGTGCGCGGATATACATACATACATACATACATACATACACACACCCACCCACCCACCCACAGTCTAAGAATTTAATAAAAACTCTCCCACAGTCTCCCTCGACAGTCATCCGCTCAGTCTCGCCGTCTGTATCTGTATCTGCTGTCCCCATCGCCATCGTCTCCCTGTGCCTGTCCCTCCCTCCACATATGTATGTTCTCTAGGTATATAATATCCTTGTACGACAGAGTGTGCACGTGTGCCGTCATCAACGTATATAAGGTACAGCATACGTGTCTGCACCACATATATAATACATATGTACGTGTGCACATCTCCGAGCAGCATCCTGTGCATGGTCTCCGCTTGATAATAGATGAGGTTGTTATCATCACCTAGTTCATACATACATACAAAATGCATACATACCCTGCTCTGTGAAGATGACAAAACAGAGGTATAGGTACTACTACTACTACCACTACTATCTGGATTCATTTGCTTGGGTGGCTGGCAATAATAATTATATATTTTAAAGTTACTCTGCTGCGGCCGCCATATGTATTATATAGCATCATGGAGGGATGTTTATAGCTTCATTCAGGGTTCATTACTATCATTGCTATGTGTGCTAGGGAGCTGAACAGGACTACACATTCGTGCTGCTGCTGCTGCTTCTGCTGCTTCTGCTGCTGCTTCTGCTGATACACAATAGCTGCCAACTGTGCGGGATATGTGCGTGTGCGGGATATGTGCATGTGCGGGATATGTGCGCGTGCGTGCGCGCACACACGTGCACGCACGCATGCATGGGGGTGAGGTGGGGGTTTTGGTGGGTGTCTGGAGACATGCGCGCACACACACGCGCGTGTGTCTCCAGCCACATCCACCAAAACCGCCCTCCTCACCCCCATTCACGGTCACATCATTATATATACCCTCGCCCTGCCCCCTCCCTGCCGCGTCCACACATATACACACCGTACACGCGCGTGCAGCTTGTGTCCTCCCACCCCCGAACACCTATATGTATATAGTACCGCATACCCCCAAAAAACGCTTGTACCCCCCTCTCAAAAAAGACACCTCTCAAAGCCGCCCAAACCCCGAACACCTCATCATCATATCTCGTACCCAACCAAACACACCTCCCAAAAACCCCCCGAACCTCAACCACACAATTTAAAATTACGTGT